TGGGCAGCTCCACAGAGTCCCTGGGTTCCCTTAAAGCTTCCACAAAGCTTTTCCCAGACCGCCACGTGTTACTCTGCTGATGGCCACTGATAAAGTGAGAAGCTCCATGCTGGGAAAATCATCCTTTCTATGGTTATCCCCTCAATACTGCACTTCTGTTGCCCTAATTCAGAGGAAAAAGCCGGCCCCTAAGGAGATGGCCTATTTAATTTTTGTATAGCCTAGCTCTCAGTCGACACTTCAAAAGACTCATCAGAGAATCAGAAGTTCTCATTACAAGAACAAATAACACCTTTGAGTAAAACAAAAGCTACAGAACATACTGGCAGTTCCAGAAACACTTTCTCCAACTCTCATAGTCTGACAACACTAATCTCCCTGACTTAAAGGACTTATTTTCGGTTTTGTTTATGATGATGCTACCAATAGAAAGTTACTCATAGTTTGTGAACACCTATAAGGCACCTACCACTAAGCCACACCCTCCAGATCTAGGGACTTATTTTAAAAAATGAAAAGAAACCAATGAAACCTGCTCAGATTTGCATTTATGAAAAAGAGGGTCTTAACATCCTTTGTCCATTAAAAGGCAAAGAAAAGATATTAACTGACAACCCTAACAAACATCAGTAGCCTTTTATTTATTTCTTTGTGATATTTTATCTTTAGATATTTTTCATTTTGACATAGATAACAGGATAGCCAACAGATAGTTTAACAGAGAAAATGATCCCATATCATCATAAAGAAAAATCAATGTTCTCTGGTTACTACCTAGTATTGCTTGCAGAGCTAGTCAGTTTTAAACTTCTGTATAACAATCACTTTATGTTCACAACAGCATATATAGTAATGACTCTTTTGTTACCATTTTACAGGTGTTAAAACTGAGTTTGGAAGAAATTAAATACCTTGCCCATAGCTACAAAGCAAGGATACACAGAACCTGGAGTCAAATCCATGCCTAGCTGACTTCCAATGATTAGCGTGTTGTACTTGTCATGTGACTTCTCCTAGGATGATGTCATAAAGACACATCCATTTGCCTTAGATAGAGCGGGCACTAGCAGACCAAAGAAGTGATCCTGTCCAAGTTCAGCTTGATGAAGCAATGAGTTCATTGTTTCAGTACTATCACATGGGTGACTCAAAGGCCGCAGCTCCACTGAAGGGCTCCCACTCTCCATCAGTCTCCTACCTCCTACACAATCTAGCATCCCAGGACTACATGCAGCCATGTGGGAGCAGGAGTGAGTCCAGTGACTCTCCTTCCTTCTTTGTGGGAAAATTCAGTCTGTCACTGTGCTGTGCTGCTTATTTCCTTAACTTCACTGGGCAAAGGTGCTCCATAGCCACCACAGCAACTCTGCTTCATGACCCTCTATGGTGATGTTTTCCTCAAGGAAAAAGCTCCACCACAACAGTCCCAGAACCCAGCATGCTCCTGTCCTTGTGGCAAAACATATCACTTCTCCTTCTTGTTTGCCCCTTTATTGGCACTGTTCTTTTTGTTCAGTCCCATAAAGGCTAGGACTCTGTCTATTGATTATCTGGCAATGCTAATTTATGGCTTGTTGTTTGCATCTTTGATTCATCATATGGAAGTCAAGATTTCCTATTTGATAGCTTTTAAACTCTCCGTTTGTTCTGAGTCCTTTATAAGACAGAAGGTTCTGCATGTGACATTTCCCTCTTTCCCTGCCTTCCCTCCCTCCTTTGGCCCATCCTTACATCATACTCTCTTCCTCATCTCTAAAGATGGTGGTAGCATATTTCACTGTAAGTCTATGTGTCAAGGAAAAGAAAACAAAAATAAAACCTTTGCTCCACTGATCCACCCTTGAAGAGCTTCATTAAGCTCTCAGTAGAGGGATCGTACTTATGACCTTTTCTCTTATTTCTTGCCAACTTATGCAGTTCTAAGTTCTCAATGAGATTCCATTTTCTACTGCCTTACCCATGTGGCATTTTCAGCCAGAACCACTGCTACCAAGCTATCCAAACATAATCTCAATACTTTAACAAGTAGTAATAACAATACCTGAACATTATTTCAATTTCTGGTATCATGAAATGGCTAATTGAAATACAACTCCCTTTGTTTGATTCAGAATTACAATAACATCATATTTCTTTTAGCTTCATTTTAATGATATAATTTGGACAATTATCCAACAGAATTGCTGGAAAGAGTCTGGAGACTATCATTTTGAAAGAACTAAATATTAATTCTCTTATTACAAGAGAATAATATTTTTAAAGTTTCAAAATTACATTCACAATAAAAAACATACAGCATACAGTCCTCTGCTACAAAAATGCCCACAATTACTAAACACAATCCTTATTACAAGAAATTTACAAATTGTGAATTGCACATGGAAATTTATTTTCCACCCCTCAGCATAACCCTCAAGTAATATGCAGTTAACTCTGCCAGTGGAGTACCATTCACATTTAATTTATCACTGAATTGTTGGAAGAAAAAGTCTTTAGTACATATCCAAAAATAAAGATGACTACTGTGTGGTCCAGAATGTACTTATTCTGTCCGTGGTGGGAAGAAGGCAAGCAAAGCCATAGACTCTATTATGGTCTTTTAAAAAAATTTAATGTATTATTTTAATTTTATGTGTATGCGTGTATTGCCTTCATGTAGGTAAGTGCACCTGTGTCATGCAATGCCTGTGGAGGACAGAAGAGGCCATCGGAGTTACGGACAATTGCTAGCTGCCATGTGGGTGCTGGGATTCAAACCCAGGTCTTCTGCAAGAACTGACAGTGTTCTTAACCACTGAGCTATCTCTCCAGCCCCATCTCTATATTATAATCTTAAATCTAGAGAAGACAAAGACCATGAATCATTGGAAATGTAAAGCCTAAAATTGAGAATATAGATTTTTTTCACCTTTGAAATGACAAATTATCTTTTATATCCTGTTCTGCTCATTTAAGAGTGAAAATATTCCTCTTCTCTTCTCTCCCCCCCGCCACCCCCCCAGGAATGGTCCTCTTTTCTGGTGTTTGTGTCTCCCTTGAAGACGAAATTATCTCCCCCTTGACCCCAATCACTCCTAAGCTATTGTGTGATTGTAAATGTTAAACCCTGTGTGATCTGGCATAGCCTTCAGAAAGGATGTGGTCCAGAGGCCCTGGGCAAGCATCCAAGTGTGATGGAGGCTGGGTTGAAAGGGTGGATGTTTTGAACCAGTTTGTAGACACTTAACAAGAGTCTATCAGAGCATCATGAGATAAGAATTAGACCATGTTTGATAAAAATTGTATTCTTCTGGACTACATACATAGCATTCAGGATTTCAGATAAAATTCTTGATTTAAATTGAGCCATCAGATACGACTCTACCATCACAGAACTCAGTGACTACACACACTTATAAAACCTACCAAACTACATTTTTATTAGCTAAGATATGTAATAACAAGCAAGGACATCACGCTGATCCAGACCAGAAAGACCTCTGGACTCACTCTACATTTCCACAGGGGAGTAGAAAGGCCATGGGGATTAACATGAAAGGCCAGTGTTCTGCTCCCTGCTTTGCCACCAGAGATGTGAGACATCTGCGTCTCCATTTATGCCTCTATAAATGTTACAGGTAAATTAGATATCAATGTCCCAGACTCCTTTCAGTATATTATATTCGCTACCACCAGGAATCTCCGCAGGGTACAAGGTATTCTAACAAATGAAAAATAAAAAATGTCCTACACCCAACATCCCTTCCTCCAACAGAAGAAGCAAATGTCTTCAAGACCAATCCCCTTCCCCAGTAGATTCTTACACGCAGAGCTTCACTAGCAAGACCACAAAAAACAGCTGAGGAAAAAGCGCTCATGAATCTTGCCTGTTTTGTGTCCCCAAAGGCAACAAGCAGGTTTTACAACAAACATGGCTTGTTTCAGCACAGTGCGTGATGCACATTTCTTGGATTAACTTCTTGAGCTCTCTAAGTGTGATACACAAATAATACTAGTTCTGTTTCTTTTGCAATCTGGAAAACAGTAAAAATCTCTCTGTAGGCAAGACGACATATGGCGAGAGGGACAGCTGCACTTGTATGAAGTGGTTAGCCAAGTGGTTTAAGATGTGCCTGTTTGATGAGAAAAATTTCCATTTGTACCTGAGTGTTCCTTTTAAAGGGAAAATGCTCATGGTTGTTATCTTTTCCTATTCCTTGTCACAGTCTTAAAATGAAATGCTCATCCTTCAGGCCATGATATATATAGGCATATGCACATATTATAAATATACTATAACATTATGCATTAACACAGAGGATGAAAGAATTTTGTAGAAGATACCATAGCTCATTATTCCTCAGGACATCTATGAAATAGCTGGGGGAAAGTTACGGTTTGCCAACTTTTGGAAAATTATAGAAAACTAAGTAGTTTAAACTAAGTTTATTCAAAATTGTTCCATGAATATTTTTGAATATTTTCAGAGCAGCTTTGAAAACAGGAATCTTAACTGTGAATCTGGTCTGTCCTCCTGCTACACCCTATGCATAAACAATCATTGCCAGTGAGTAATAGATTTCTTCTGTTTCTTACCAATCCTCCTCCCAGATCTTTCTAGCAGCCTCTAGTCCACTACTACAGGATCCACTGGAGAAGCTCACCTAGATGCTCCCTCACAGACACAGGGAGTTTTGCAAGTCTCCTTCCTGCCTTCTACTCCTCTCCTCTCAGAAAAAGAGTCTTGTTTTGCATCTTTGCCACTTGCATGATTTTACACCAATTCAGTGCCCATTTAACAACTGCATCTTTCACCTGAGGACTTTTTAGAGACAGGCCCCTAAGAAATGACCCAGCTCCCACCCTCAATCAGTGAACCACTTGGGCCTTCAGAATATCAGCAATTATGCCTCAGCCATGTGCTTCGTCCAGGGAAGGACATGGGACACAAACCAATTCACCATGTCAGTGACAACCGAACTTGGCTTTCTTGCCAGGGCAACAATGTTAGAGCACATTACCATGAGGGTGGAGAAGGTGTAGGGATAGTGGTAGGCCAGGTAGCAGGCATCTTCATTGTGCGGGAAGGTGACAGCAAAGGTCAGAGTGTAATAGCACTTCCCAGATGCTCCTCCTGTAGTAGCTGAGTTCTGATGATAATGATTTCTAAAGAAAGGAGAGGACAGGATGAAGGAGATGGGAAGACCCCAGGGTACTAAATACTATAAGCCACCCGTGTTACAAACTGGCAAGAGAACCTTTACTCAACAATCAAAATACTTTTGTGAGAGAAATTTAGAAGATGAAAAAAATGGGCAAGTAAATTGACTGACAGGTTATGCATCAGTTCAGCCACACATAAGCCTGACCCAGCTCCCTCCCACTTGACATATAAATGCTGTGGGCCTTTTCTTCTTGCGTGCATCTGTAGATGAAAGCCACCTAGCCATTGTGCTGGAAAACAAAGGAAAATGTAAGTGCTTCTATTTCCTAGTGTCCTATTGCACATATTACAACCAAATTTGAGTTCCCCACTCCTGATCTCTCCCCAGAACCTTATAAAGTAGAGCTCATTCATTTCTTTCATTTTATTTTGCTGTATCATGCCCAGGAGATGTCTTTTTGCTTCACACCACCCATCCTCTAGGTCTGATAGTCTCTCCACCCCTTCTTCCACAGCGTTCTCTGAGCCTTGAAGGAAGTGGTGTAGATGCCCATTTAGGGCTGAGCATGCCACCATCACTTATTCTTAGCACTTGGAATTGCTGAATAAACTGTCACCTACTTTTAATAAGCTTCTCTGCTGAAGGCTGAGTGCATCACAAATCTACGGATATGCAGCTCGTTCTTTACAAACGGACTTATTAGCTATCACTACTGCACACTGAATTCCATCACAAGCCTTGTATGCATCCTTTTGTGTTACTACTGCAGTACCCCATTGTGAAAATAAAGAAATGAAAACAGAAAAACTAGTAGGCCAAAAATCTTAAGGCTAGTTAAGTGGCTGATCTAAGATTTGAACCCAGATATCTCTAGCTAAAAAGTCTGGGTTGTTTTCACTACACGACACTTTCTTCTCAAAGGAATTTATTTCTCATCTCAAATGTGGTTCCGATTCTTAAAGCTTGAGGATGCACATTTTCCTTTGTCAAAGATGAAGGACCAATTTTGATACTTCAGAGAACAGTATCAAAGTAAATTGTACCCAGAAGTACATTCCAAGCAATATTTTCCTTGCATGCTGCCAGTTACACTCTCGTCTTGTCTGTTGATGTTGCGACAGGTGTGCAGGCTTTCCTGAGAAACGTTATCATTCAGATTGAATTATAATGTAAAATACACATAGCACCTTTGGCTGCTTGGTTTGTTGGCTCATTGTGGGGATTTTAAGTTTGGGGTAAGAGACAAAGAAAGGAGAAGGAAGAAATAGATGATTAGTTTTGTGTGCTCTTGCTACCTTCCTGGTATCCTTACCACCACCAAAACAATCAATTGTATAAGAAAGGATCTAATAGAAACCCATCTTATTTCTTGAGATTTTATGATTTTTCAGTTTTTCTAAAACTAGGGATGGGCATAAGAAAAGCTGACCATCCCTCCAACTTTGGTTAATACTTCTGCTTGCTTCAGCTTCTGTCCATGTGGCAACACAGAGTATTGATCATGATGAGGGAAGAGGACACCCCCTAGCAACATCAGCCCTAAACGACTGTCCCACACAGCTTTTCAGAACCACAGTGATAGAATCCACTTCCTGTGTGCTTACAGCAATACTTTCAAAAGGGTATTTTCCCCCATGGTGTTATCTAGATCTTGAGATCTATCTGGGTCTATTTTTCCCCCGATTTCCCCAAAGTTTTAAAGTTTCTCCAGAAGCTAAGACCCTGGTTATTAGAAAGTATACAAAGAAGCAGATGGAAGTCCAGAAGACATGTGAAGCACATGTGCGCTTTTTATTTGCTTTCTGATTGCACTTGAAAAGCCTCTACTCAAACACATATTCACTTTATACCTAACTGAACAGCAAACAGGTACTGGTCAGTCAGAGCTCTTTACCACGGAAGAGCCAAGGAAATGAAATGAGCCAGGGACCACCATTAAAACATCAAAGAGTTTCCCATTTATTAATAATACATTTGTGGGTGCACATACACACACACACAAGCACACACACATACACACACATTCATGAATATAAGACCAGTGGAAACATAATCAGTTACCCCACTGTCCCCAAGTTCTTCACCTGTAAACAGTAAGGACAAAGTGTGCATCTTGGATGAAAACAATAGATTCCCTTAAGAACTAGTGTGGTGCTCTCACTTGGAATGTGCCTTACTTTTTCATAGGTTTGCACAGGAACTTGTAGTACTCAAGTACAGCATTAGTATCCACATTTTAGGTCTCCCACCATACACTGAAATCATATCACAAGAACATTTACTGGGTGAAAGCTCAACCTTCCTCTACTGTGCTTTATTTAAAAAAAAAAAAAGCAAAATGGGGCAATGAAATTTCTGTATCTATCCATATGTTCTCCCCTACTGAAACCAAACTTGGGTGCCAAGGAAAGAATGGTTCCAATGGACTGGAAAGAGAAATAGCATGGGTTGAGTTCATGATTTTGAGATTCCATGATCCCTCGGGTTGAGTCCATGATTCTGAGATTGCACGCTCCCAGTGATTAGAGGGAAGGAATCCATAAGGTAGTTTTGACTATGTGAAACCAGCCTTCACACACATACGCACATACATATTTCACATTACCACCTGCTGCCTGAGGGTATCAGCTTTGCACTGGCAAGCCAGCCTTCCCAAGGATGGTTACACACTGCTGGAATTTAAGGAAACTGTACATCATCTCACTGAAAATGAATTTCTGCCAAAGGAAGTTTTGTTACAGCCTCTAGTCTGGGGTCTAAACTTTGGCTGATTCCAAAGCAAATGTTAGATATCACCCCTGGATTCTTTACTGGTGGTCCCACTGTAGAGGGAACTGTGGAGGAGATGACTCTGTCCCCAGATGATGTGCTTCTTCAGAAACCTATGACCTTTCCTGAGATTATTCTTCAATGTAAAAGTCTGATAAATCTCAAAATTTGAAAATTTGGCTGCCAGATTCAATTTGTCTGTGACAGATAAGCTCCACCAATGAGCCGTTTTTTCGTTTCCTTGGTTTTGGTGTGAGCACACTGAGGAATGTTTTCAAGGCAGAAATATCCGCTCTCCCTATGGTGAATGCTGCCTATGTTATAAGAGCGTGGAATTTTCTGTCCTTGTCTTCATTTGCCCTATTCCCTTCTCTCAAGACTCAGCTCAAATGTTAACCTTTCCAGGAAGCCTTCCCCATATTCACTGAACACCCACAATTCACACAGCCTTTAGCTTTCTTTGTGTTTTGTCTCATGCCCTTCGATCTTCAGAACAGCTCTGTGGAGGTAGATGCCATTTTTACTCTTATTTTATAGACAAATAATCTAAGGTTGAGAAAAGTTGGGGTGATGTACCCAAGGTCATTTGGTGAGTGAAGAGTAGAAATTTGATCTCAAGAACTTTTTATTCTCAATAATCTCTTCCTGTAGATAACAAGGCTGGCCATCAGTATGTGCTCAGATCTGCTGCATGCTAGATCGGTCACATTGGGTCAAAGAGGACCTGGGCTACATGGACCCTGCTGCTCCACAATTACAAGGTTTCCCTGTGCTCCCCTTCCCTGAACCACTCACCTTTATAAGGACTTCACTTTTGTCACCATAAATCTTTCAGTGAAGCAGGAAGCAAAGCACAAAACGCAGTTACAAATTCCGTGTATTTCCACTTGTAGTTAGAAATATAGCGGGAAGTTGTTTCTTATCGTTGCTGTTCTCTGTGTGTGTGAAATTAGTAAACACTAAGGTCAAGCACCAATTAGGTAATCTCAATGACATGGCTCTTTAACAAGGATATATCATTTCACTTAACAGAATCTAATAAGGCACAGCAGCCGAGTTGCCAGGCTTCCCTGTGACTGCAGTATCTCTAATATTCTATATAGCACCAAATCTCTCTCCTGAGATCCTGAGGAAGGATAGATGATAGCAGAGCTCTTGTATGACATTCATCTTCATGAGTGAGCTGTTCCATCTCCTCTCACGAGCGGAGATAAATGTCAGAAGAGATCAGCCGCTGTGTATTACACGGCCACTCAACGCCTGCAGCTTCCCTCCCTCTGCCCTTCAACACCAAGATGACTTTAGACCAGAACTGTGAGAGAATTGGAAGGGTGTGAGGCTATGTCAGAGGGAGAAGCAGGCCACAGGAAAGTAAATAAAGCAGAAACTAAACTGCCCTTGCTTGCTTTTATGAGAAATATGGAAAAATGAGTCCACCCATTTTGCTTTTCCATCTAGAGAGTTAATATTTTCCCTTTTCTGGCAGAGTGTTCTTGGAAGTGGGTAGGAGACAGATATAAAATGGAAAGAGTAGAAGAAAATCAAGGGAAAGGACAGGACTGGGCATGCAGAGAAAATATTAGAATTCCCACTTAAATGTACTTTCTAGGTAATAAGAAAGAAATTAAACTGCCTAATGTTTAATGTGGAGATTGACCTGACTGACTTGTAGAGTCCACTTCAACATTAGGTGATGAATAATTACAAAATAAGCCTGATTTTAGTGCAGTGAAATCATACCCTCTTCCTGGTTTTATTCCAGGGATAGATTATGAAAAACAAATTAAATCATACATCAGCTGCTGTCATTCCATATAGTTCCTTAATAATGGCTGTGGGGGTGGGGTACTGAGATACTGACGGGGGGATAAGTTGCCCCTCCCTCAGTCTTTGCATTTAGCTTCTTGCAAAATATTTAAGTAGACAGAAGCTTATTTGGAGATCTGTAGATTAAATTATCTAAATTAAGCCAAACCTCTCAGTACAGACAACAGTCTTTCTAATATTCTGTTTAGTAACCATAAATGGCTGACAACATTGCAGGAAAAGTAGAAAGTTCATGGATTGACCTCAAACTTCAGTCCTAGCTCTTTTTCAAGAGTACTCTTTAAAAAATGATTCAAACTGAATCTGAAAAATCTGCAACTTTTTCAAAATTATTCAAAAGGATACACATACACACACAGAGATTTGTTTGGTTTAATCGTTTGTTTTGATACGCCAAAACAAAAC